GACTTTCAAATTCCAGAAGACAGACATGCGACGGGAGGGATTCGACCCCAACGTCATCTCTGACCAACTCTACTTCCTGGACTGCACTAAGGGACAGTATGTGGAGTTGAATGTGGAGCTCCATCGCAGCATCATCTCAGGAAAGCAGAAATTATGAGACTACTGCCAACCTCCACCTGTTCCCTCACCGCCCCGCCTTCAGCAGCCCTCAAACCCCGCCCCCTCATCACTCCGCCCCTCATTACCTCAGCAAACACAGTGAGGGGCCGCAGGAACGCATTCTGCCCGTATATTCAAGCCTCCGCTGATTCATTCTCACAACCGAGACGGGACTGAGGTGGCGTTCAGCCAGCCGTCTTAAAAGTGAAAAATGCAAAAGAAAATTAAGCAATTTAGCAAATAAGAATACAAAAAACATACAGCAAGGAAAGGCACAAGGACCAAACACACGGCTGTCAAGTGGTAAAGCTTTCCCTTTGCCTCAGCTGCACAATGCTCGCCTGGCTACAAGATTTGAGACTGACACGATCCTTTTGACGGATTTGACAAGCGACTGCCGCCCTGACCAAAACCAATGTGGATCGACATGCAATACAAACCCAGCACTGGCTGTGCGCTTGCCAGCTGCAATGACTTGATCGATGCTGTTCATTTAAATGTGTAACATGCACCAAATATATTTAAGTTATAGAATAGCTCGTCATCTATTTACAAGTCATGAATCTACATGCCGCGTTGAAGACGTCCATTATTGCACTGCTACTGTGTGCATTTTACCTCTCCAGACTTTAGTATGCAGCGTCAGCATGGAAGCAGATTTAACGATCAGCCATTGTGACATTGTGTAGACTGGGCTTCATGGGTTTGCTTCGTTTTGCTAGACGTGAAGACCGTTAAGTTCCCTCTCTACAGGACACTATAGTGGACTTTGCATGGAGGCGAATGAAAGTAGTGTAATACTCTGGTGCTAAAGAGCGAACATCCTGTCTATCTGCAAAGTGGCGCCAGACCTAAAAAACATATTTTCTCCTTGACGGGAAGAGAACGGAAGTGGAGGAGAAGAAAGGGGAAAGCGATATAGGCTGTTTGTCATCAGAGATCTAGTTTTTCTTTCAGCAGCATGAATGATTGACGCAACAGAGCACTGTGCCTTACTGTCAGGTCACCAGATAGTGTTATTGCCCTCATCATGATACTAACTGACTCTAGACGTCTCTTCCATGTCCCTTAAACAGCTAGCTTATTTTCTAGACCTTGCTTGTACTCCCATGAAAATTCCCATCATGCAAAGTGTGTCCAGCACTACATTTATGGGCATCCTGTCCATTCCATGTGTATTTTGCTCGATCTCCTTTTGCGAACCTTCCTGTTCTCCCTCGTCCACTGACAGCTGATTATTTATTTATATATCGTAGCAAGTATTTACGTGTGTGTGCACGTGTGACAGCACTTGTTTTGGCCACTATATATTAACGTACAGCACAGATTCACATGTTTTGACCTTATTTGGGTAAATCTCTCCAGGAACATGTCTGGGTCATGCATCACCACAACATCCAAAATAAATAAATAAATATATATATATATATATATCTCATTACCGTAATGACAAAAATCTTATTCATGTTACCATACTGACAATAAAATCACATTCTCTTTACCGTAACAACCAAAAAAAATCTCATTCTCTTTACTGTAATGACAAAAAAATCTAATTTACATGATCATAATCAGAAAAATCTCATTCTCCGTACCATAATAAAAAATAAAAAAAACGAATTTTCATTGCGGTCATGATAATAAAATTCTCATCCTCATAGCTGTAATGACAATAACATCTCATTTTCATTACCGTCATGACAATAAATCTTATTTTCATTACCGTAATGACAAACAATCAAGATCTCATTACCATAATGATAATAAAATCTTGTTCTCATTTCCATAACAAAAAAAAATCCTCATTCTCATTACCATAATGACAAAAAAATCAAGACTTTTTTCAGTAAAATTAGCATAAATTAAATTCAGTACAACAGTAAAAAGGAATTAATTTATCCATTCAAAATGTA